AAAAAGGGAAACCCCCCAAAAAAAAAAAAAAAAAAAAAATTCCTTACAAAACTAATTGGGCCTGGGGCCTGTGCATCACGCCATGAATTTAATTGACGTCGAAATGATTATTGCACTATGCTTGTGCTTTTATGTGAATGATGAACTAGCATATTTTTTTTGGGTACAAAATGGCACAAGCTCAAATTGTATCTCCAATTTAATGATTTAAGTGTTACAATGGAACATAGGAACTTCAATTTAAATTACATTAATATTATTTCAATTACTTTTATCATTTAACGAAATAATTCTACAATTAAATATTTAATTTTTTGTCTGTTGCTATGAATAAATCATTACAAAGTAGTCAAAAATGGGAAAATAAGTTTGAAGGAATAGGATTTTTATTTTGTCTCCATCAGACCACCTTTATTGTGAAGCGTGAATGTTTCTTCGCTGCGTGTCACAAGTGATGATTCACTTGTCCCTTGTTCACAGGGACTAAACAACTCCCGTCAGATAGCCGTCCCTTTCTCTCTTTTTACATCCTTGTGGATGGATGAAAGAAGGAAAGTGTACATAGTTCACTACTCTCATGTAAATTGGACTCATTGTAGGCGCAGTGTACAGACAATTCTTGTTTCTTGTGCTACTGGAGCACATTCCGTGATTTACCTCCCTCACAAACTCTAGGGGCGGGACGGTGGAACCCTCAAAATTGGGGTTCAACCTTTTTTTTTTTTAAGTGCAAAATATGAACATTCTACTATAAGGTTAACTCAATAAAAGACATTACCACATTCGTATTCAAGCAGAATGTGCGAAGTTTACAAGCTAACACCACGAGATAATTAAAAATTTGAATTCAAAATTATTCAACTATTGATCCCTCTAAAGGGACTCCAAACTAATGACCAAACATACTTAAAACTAAGGTGAAAAAATAAAAGTGTCAAAGGTTCATCTCACAAATCATAGTCACTCATTCATAGTACATTGCCTTCTGGTTCTTGATTTGATACTGAAGAACATCATCTTGTTCATCACTCTCCTTCAAAGAATTAAGTTGTGGTGGCGCAATACCAGGCATCACGGCACACTGCACGTACGGTGGTGGCACAGGCGGCAGAACTGGCGGAGCCACCGCATAGTATCGTGCTAATGGTACCGGATTATGGCACATTACATTGTCCACCACCCCAAGCTCGGCGGCAGCTGTGGACTCATAAAACACCTGCCTCTTACAGGATGCACACTGGACATTACTGCCATTTGATGCTCCACCAAATTGCAAATAATCGTTGTCATTCATCAAAAGCATCATCATTGAATTCTGATTCACAGAATGCATATCTTGGTGATGATCGATACTAGGATAATGAATAGGCACATGCATTTCAATTGGTTTCATAGAGGAAATTGCCTGCTGATTTATCATCTCCAATCCTATGCCACTTTGGATCAATCTTCCATGTCCCAAATCCATCATATTCATATCGAATTCATTGGCGTTTCGTTTCAACATTTCAATCCTCGACTTGACGTATTCGGCCTTATTGCTTAACAAGGCATAAAACTCCCTCAACTGAATTTCTGACAGTTCATCCATCAGCTTAATCCAAGTAGGGTACTTGGCTTCCTTGTTCTTGTTCCGCAATTTCTCAAGCTCATCTTCGATTTTTTGGTTCCGTTCATTAAAAAAATCAGACAGACCGTACGTTTTGTTCCCAGAATCTTTCTTCTTGTTCTCGTAGATGTCGATTATTCGTCGTGTTTCTTCGAGATTTTGAGGCCATATTTCTGGCTCAACTGTGTTCTTATCTTGTGTTGGGGGATAGATTATCATGCACGCACTAACATCACACAAAGTGGTGAATTCATGCATTTTTCTCATCAAACCCTCCTTTCTTTTCTTGAATGTTATGTTTCTTGATTTCTCCTTGCTTATCAGTTCCATGTTCAATTTTGCGCGCCCCATCCTGTCACAAAATACAACAAACAAGATTTTAGCTGCCAATACAGTAATATTAAAAATTCGAGATCGAACCGAACCAGTTCCCATTATTTTTGCCTACCCATATATGATTTTTATACAAATTTAAATTAAAGTTCATTTCTATTGATTAAAGTTACTTATTTTCAATGAAAAACTCATTAAACAATACATACAAGAATCATAATAGCTAATAAAAGCAGAAATAATAAGGAAAGATGAAGCCTAACCTTAATGGCTCCTTTAGGAACACAAATTCAGATTCAGAAAGAATGAAGTAATTCTTCTATTATCTTTCTCTTAGTACAGACAAGTCTTTATTTATATTTATAATTTGCAAAAAAAAAAAGAAAAAAAAAAGGTTGTATATATTCATAATCAATCATGCCTAATGTCTCAATTTTACCTTATTTAATTGATTCTTTTAGATTTTCACATTTAATGCTATTGGAACTTACTTCTGGAAAGTCGCGTTAAAATTTTTGACTAAAAGAATCTTTAAATATTGCATTCTCTAAAAGGCAAATTCAGATCTTATTGCGAGAGTCCATTCAAAGCCGTCAAATTTCTATTTCCATTTTCCCTTTTTTGTAGATTTTGAAATGAAAACAAAATAAACATGGATTATCTTTGCTTATTAAGAATAATTAGTTATGAGCGATGGCCCAGCCACGTCAAGCCAATTAAAGCAGGAAGTGTAAGCAAAAATCACCGACCATCAAATCCAAAAGAATAAAAAATCAAAGACAACATTTACGTTAGAAGACAGATGTCCTGTGGAGGCAAAGTTATGATCCGCTTTATCGTCTCTTTGAGGGTCCTATTTGCACATCATAAAGGGAGGTTCACATATAGGAGAATCGCATCCTGAATGTCAAGCCCAAGTATGTATAATCTGTGACTGAATTCGAATTTACCCTGGTGGCGAATCGGGAAGAAGGCCGCCACTCCTCTGAATTAGTCGGACGAAAATTGTATACCTAAGTTATAAGAAAAAAAGTGTTCACGTAAAATTATTATTAATTTTTTAGGAAAAATAATGGTTAATAGTTGCAAATATGTTATTAAAATTAATATTTGACTTAGACAAAATAAAAAATTAAATTCACGACCAAATTTTGGTTCTTTTTCCATTCATTAAAAATAAAAGTTCTACATTTATCTTATTTCTACTTCGAATCAAAATTCCAACAATTATTTTCTTTGGATTGATCGTCCGCCTTTCCATTCATAAATTGCTGAAAATAATCAATGAATTGCTTTCAAGGACGAATAATAACAGCATTGAGAAGATGAAAGTATCTTCATATTGCTTGTACATCGTTCTATTATTCTTTAAAATTTGACGGAGTTGGCATCAAGTCCATCCATGGAATCAGGTCTGTAAAAGGAGAAACATATTCTTCATGAATGGTGGATGAATTTTTTTCTAATTCAACGAGCAAGTAGTAATCTATAATTAAACTTTCGATAAGGTGAAAGCATTAAACGCCGTCGAGTGTTAAGTTAAATTTCCGTCAACCATATATATGTATGTCAAGAAATGTAAATAGATTTTTAGAGTATTTTTAATTTTGGGTGTAAAATTGAATATAAACTAATATATTTAAAATTATTTTTTCATCCTTATTTACATCTTGATGGATTTAAATCCACCACCCCCCCCCCTTTCCCCCCCCCCCCCCCCCCCTCCAAATAATCCCCAGCCACTCCACCTGCGCCAATCATCTTCACTTCATCTCCGGCCAACATCCCGCTGCTGACCGACCCAATAATCTACGTCCTTTGGCCTACTCTGTAACATCTATGTTTCTTTCGTTCCCATTGTTTTGCCTTAAATTCATCTCAAGTGTGGAGACCAACTCAACCCCTCATCAAACGGCTACTTCAAATTATTGAATTCCACAAATCCACACAATAAAACTCAGATTTCTCAATTACAACAAAATTAGAAGCGTTAAAAATAGTGATTTTCCAAGTGGGTTACTCTTTGAATTTGACTTGCATTAAATGTATCAAACATGACCAAATGGAGTAAATTTCCACAACTGCTTAATCATTCTAAGAAATCATCAGGCAAATAAAGACCCCAGAAAAATGAAAATATCCACTCCAAATGAATCCAAGTATCAGCCCGAAAGAAACTAGGACTTGGACGTGGAAAATATCCACTTGGAATGAATCCATGAACTGCAACCTCCACTAAGAAGAATTTTGTCGTGGAAATTGGTAATGGTGACTGCTCCTGCACATCCAAAATCTTGTGGCACTGTGAAATCAGCACCATACTCAGATCTGTTTGAGCCACATTATTCTAAAAAAATACATTCTTAAACAGTGATTTGATATCATTTCAACCACACATTTTTCAATAAAATAATATTACATGCAGCGCAAAAAAATTTCTTTATTTTTTAACCACACATTTCCCATCAATACACTATTCAAGAATGCATTATTATCAAAATAATGTGGCTCAAACACCCCCTCAATAAGATCAAAGTTTGATCAGAAAATCATCAAAAGTCAATAACTGAAATTGTTTTGAGCCGGACTTCATATGAAAATTGTGATCCAGAAACATAAAGCAAAAGAGATTTGAATTTTAGCTAAGTAAAAAGGGTGTCATAATCACACAAGCCGGCAATGGTGATTGCAGCATCCGGTTTTCATTTTGGGTTGGAGATTATGGGCCAAGGACGGAGATTATTGGGTCGATCGAGGACGGGATGTTGCTTGGAGATGAAGTGAAGATGACTGGAGTCGACGGAGTGGCTGGGAATTATTTGGGGGGAAATGATGCTTATTGCCAGCCTTTTAGCCCCAATTACCGACCTTTTCATTTTTATATTATTTTCTTATTTTACACTGCCATTTCATATATTGCTCAACTTTTTTAAAATTCTGTACCTATTGAAACTTTGCCCCTAATTGTAGCATTTTCCATAAAACAAATACTATTGCATCGAGCGGTCATTGATTTATCTCATCCATTACGATAAACCCTCCTAAGCCGTGTCTACCAAATTTCTTCTTCCAAAACCCCTAAAACCTCCATTCTCCATTTTGGGCGGGCAAATGTCTGACGATCTTATTAGAGAGAGTTCCAAGCACTCGCGCCCAGAATCTTCCCAACGCCCATCTAAATTCGCCAAAATAAACGGCGAAGATTTCACTGACGACGCCGAGGAGGAGGACAAGGAAGAAGAAGAAGAGAGGAAATTAATCGAAAAGAATATGAATCCAAACCCTAGATTACAGAGATATTTAGTTGCTATTGAGTACATTGGTACCCGATTTTCGGGCGCTCAACAGCAGACTAATTGCAGGACCGTCGTCGGTGTTCTGGAGGTTATTTTATTTTTGTATAATGCTACTTACACAACCATTATTTATTTTTCTTAGTCGCCCAACAGGTCATAAATTTTATGATGTATTTTATGAATATATTTTTATGGATGAAAATAGGAGGCATTTCAGAAATTTATTGGACAGCCAGTTTCAATTTTTTGCTCTAGTCGAACTGTGAGTATTTCGATATCATATTTTACTGGACGATTTCGTTCAATCTGATGTCAGTTTTTATTTCATTAGTTGAATTAATTAATGTTTAGGATGCGGGAGTTCATGCGTTATCAAATGTGTGCCATGTGGACGTCGAGAGAATAAGCAAAAGAAAACCTGGTGAAGTGGTAACTAACTTATCTAGTAAATACATCCTGATATTATGTTTTTCACTTGAGCTTGATAGTCTAATCCTTTTCCGTGACACGAGCAAGTAACGCGGATACATTGGATACACGTAATTTGTATTGCTTCAGCCCCAGCACGCCTAACTAAACTATTTTTCCGGGTGGATCTGTGTGTTTAAGTTAATATCATTTTGAAATTTTATAGTTAATATAAGCTGTCCTTTGGCTGTTACCTCCTCCTACCTTACCAATTTGAGAGGGTTTCTTTACTTCACTCTTACTTTCTCACTTTCACTCTGACCCTTTCCTGCTGCTCGAAAAGAAACATCTGCTAAGTATATAGTTGTTCAAGCTTATGTATGCGCAACATCGTTATGCTTTTACCACTGAATATTACTGATTTTGAGTTTAGTCATTAAACTTTGCTCTACTTTACAAATCAAAATACATGAGAACTTCAAAAGCAAATGACGTGTGTATAAAGATGAAGGTATATTTACGACTTTCTCTGATTTCAATATGCAGTTACCACCTCATGAACCTTCAGTGGTTAAAAGAGCTGTCAATCATTTTCTACAGGTAAGCTCTTGATATTCTAGTGATCCCAGAAATAAGGAATTATGTCTAGACACCAAATCTTTCTGCATGACTATCTTTTCTGTATGCTTTAAAAATCCATTGCATTGTCAGCTAGTGCTTTGCCCTGTCCTTTTCATTTCTTATTTAGCTTCTGGGCAGCAAATGATTATAACAAAAAGCATCCCCATCTGTTTCTGAGTTACCTGATTGTCGAGCTAAATTTCTGTATTGAAACTAAATTTTTGATAGATATAATTATTATCCTATCCAAGGCAATGGTATCCTCTCATTGACTAGAGGGTAATATGGCCTTTTCAGTATTAGACGGAATGAATAATTGAAAACAGTTATAGACTTGAAATGATCTGGGTGACTCAGAGACCTGAAATTTCAAATTGGAGAAAAGGCAATTTTAAAAAACATTTCAAATTGTGCTTATGCTCATGGAGTCCTCCATGCTTCATTTCTTCTTTTATTTATTTATTTTTTATATGAGGTGATGTGTAGTAATGAATAACGTAAAGATTGCATCTAAATCTAACACAACTGCCTTTTGTTAGGATGCCGTGGTTGAATTTGTATTCCATATATTTAAATCAATATCCTTGATTACCGAGTCCAATTTTCTTTAAGCGCGTGATATCATGATTGCATTGGTGTAAGGATTAATATTCGAACTTCACTGGCAAACTGATAAGTGATAACAAAGAACTTTGCAAGGACACTGGACAAGTAATAGTTGTTTTCTTTATACGACCAGATCTCTGGTTCTGGCCTCGATCTGAAAAAGATGGGTGCCACATGTTGATGTGTTTCTGCACCATGGATGCCAGGGACAAAGTTATCAAATTTTCTAATTTGAACTAATATTTGAAGTTAACTATTTCAAAAGTCAGACATACTTTATTATGCAAAGGCAGTCATAAATTGTGATCTACGTTGCACTTCATTTTTGAACTTATATTCTGTTTTTTTCTTCCGGGGATTTTAATGCAGAAAAATGGTGGTGATATGATGGTGATTGATGTCCGTTGTGTTCCATTTGATTTTCATGCTCGATATAAAGCTCAAGAACGCACGTAGGTATCATAATCGAAACTTTCCCAGTGGAATTGCAATTGCTCTCTGAGGCTTACATTCATCTCTGCAGAACTCGTGATTTTTTCTCATTTCAATGTATATAATTTGTTTGTATTTTTGAAATATCACATAATGCTACAAAGCACATATGTTGTTATGCACAGTGGCGGAGCAGACATTTTGAGTTAGTCGGGAAAAATTAAACTTGCAAAAATTTTATGAAGAATTAAAGCATTTGATATCTTATTACAATTGTTCTCTGCGCATTCTCATATTTTAATAACGTTCCATAATTACTCCTATCCTATACAACTTTCAAATATGCTTTAATGTTGTTCTTTCTCCTTATGAGCATGTTTGCTTTTCTTCTTTTTGCTTCTTTTACAGAAGAAACTAGCTTTTTGAGTGTAACTGCCCAAAAAAGAAAAGAGTTGCTTTTTTAACTTTTGAGTTAAGCCCAGCATGCTCTATGGCCATGCCGAACTGCTAGGTTCATTATGGGTAAAAACTGAGGCCATTACAGTATCAGCTGGATGTTGTTAATAATTGATCTTTCAACCATTTCACTGCATCCTTCCATATTCTCTTCAATAAGGAACTATACAGTGTGTTTATTGTTTAATACAATAGTTCTGGGCCTTAAATTTGAGATCCACTATTTTCTTGATTTTGTTACAGGTATTTTTATCGATTGTTAACTGGGAAGGAGCCTTTGTCAACCTTTGAGAAAGACCGGGCTTGGCATGTGCCTGAGGAACTTGATCTTCTAGCTATGCAGGTCTGACTAACAGGACATACATTTCCCTTAAGCTGAATTGTGTTTGTCATATTTTTAATGTCTAAATTTGGTTATATTGATTGCTGTTCAGAAAGCATGCAAAATACTTGTTGGACGTCATGATTTTAGTTCTTTCAGGGCTGCTGCATGTCAGGTTTGTTTTCATCTTTCCGCTAACTAGCTTTACTACTGAAGAAGTTCGCAGGGGACTTGGAATGTGCAGTTTGTTTTTTTGGCATTATAGCTACATTTTCTAGTTTCAAACATTGACGTAAGAATATTTCCATTTTTTCTAGTTTGTGTTTGTTGGCCCAGTGCTACAAATGTTCTTTTTCATGATATAACATGACTGATTTCTTACTGGCTGACAGGCCAAGTCTCCCATCAGAAATCTTGATGAACTAACTGTTACTGAGGTCGGTTCAAGCCCATATTTTCCTTCAATCACAGAGAGAGAACAAGGTAATTTGGCTGCAGAAGATTCATTTTCACTCTTGAACAGGTCAAAGATCAATCCTTGTGTTTCTGGAAGCTTCAATCAGCTGAATGTAGGAAATTCCTATGAGGAAGTTAGCCAAGGATTTGGCATAAGGAAAAGGAACCGTTGCTTTGTGGTGACTGCCAGAGCACGGTCTTTTCTCTACCACCAGGTTGGTGTTATATTGCTTTCAAAAAGGTGTAATGTGTTTTGTTCCGCTCACTAAACTTAGTCACATACGCATCCAAAGTGACTGTCTAAAAAGGGGAACAAATTCTTCAATAATAAGTTTTAAAAATAACACTGGTTAGATTTCCTGTATTATATATCAGGAACGAATCTATGTGAACATAAAAATGCATTCCTTTGGACATAACCGTTATCAATGTTAACACTGCACACATTGCACAGTATTTGTTTATATTCTTCTAAATTCTTAGGGACCTCCTGTTTCTGCATTTGAATATGGATTGATCTAAGATTGATAACTTGACATGGCTGCAATGCTAAAGAGGAGGAACTTACGAAACTATCCTTACTGCTTTATGCCTTGGAGGTGAGAAATCGAATGAACTTATAGAAGGTGAATATGTATTTCTTGGACTAAGATGTGCTAAATAACATCCTGGGATTCATGATTTTGGTCTCAGGCTTCTAAGAAGCCGGTGTCATTATTATACAGGGGGGCTTGTTCCTTTTGAATGTACAAATTCTAATGTCTATGTATGTAGAATACTTCATGGAAACGTTTGGTTTCTATACATATTTTCTGACACAGGTATGGATATATGAGTGTAGTCTGTGTAGATGGTAGATATTATTAATTATTTGGCGCGCGCCGTTGGAGTGGTGGTCATTGTTTCCCTTCCTCTGTCTACTCGTATAAAAGAGAGGTAGTTACAGGCTTGACTCAATAAATGAATGAATTCTGGGTCAGTAAGCCAATTGACATGATAATGTCATGTGCCTTCTTAAGAAGTTTCGTGGGGGTGAGCGGGATTCTAGCCAAAAGGACAATTTGGTTTACAAATAGGCATGATTACTTCATTATGTCTACGACCAACTTATATCCTATAGATACGGTCTGTCCAATGCAGACCAATCGTCAATTTTGCCATTGAGTCAACCTTAGATTGTTAGAGTAGCTGTACGCATCTCATATCGATTCTAATAGTTTTTAAGTTTTGGGCAGGTCAGATTGCTAGTTGGGGTTCTTAAAGCAGTTGGCACTAGTGATCTAACAGTTCGCGATGGTATGGCTGTACAAGCTTTGCTTTATAGGCATGTGGGAAGTCATAACTTTTTGAATTAATTATAATCGCTTTCTATTTGTTGCACCTTTTCAGTTGATCGCATACTCAAAGCAAAGACTGTAACTGCTGCAAGTCCTATGGCACCTGCATGTGGTCTCTACCTCGGGCATGTGAAGTATGATCTGCCTTCAGATGTATGAGAACAAGAATTTATACGAATAATAGCAGCATTATGTGGCCATCTTTGTTGTTCCAGGCCAATTATGGCATCTCGGTCTTACCATTCCAAGCTAAGGTCACAATTAATGATATTCGGCAAAATGTTTGGTTTTGTCTGAAAGGCTTCATCTTTGGAGGAGGGGTTTCAAGCATCTTGGCCTAACAATTTTCAGGACTGTTGAGTTCAACGTTTTTGTAGCTGTTTTTCTGCTCTGTATACCAATCAGTCATGATTTAAGTTTAATGTTCTGATTTAACAAAGAAAGCTGTATTTATCTAACCTGGAGTAGAAGTATAAATCAGGTCATGCCTAGAATATTATGAGCCCGACCATTCCTCACACCACACCAACGTCAAGGCAGGAAAAGACTTGAAATTTTCCAGAGGATTGCCCATAAAGCAAGCGCAGTATTGACATGAAAACATTTATCCCCATAATAGGACATAAGTGCTTCCACAAACAAAATATAAAATATGTTAGGCATACATCCATGGGTCATTAGATGAAACTGGCATCTAGAAAAACACATCAACCAATCCAGCATCAGCAGAATAATTATTACATCTTAACTGATGCTGAAATTGCAAGAATGGGTGCAACACAGAAAGGCAATTGGCAAATTGAATTGCATTGCCATTGAATGTCCAGGTGAAGGAAGCCTGGAGAGAGGAAGAGGAATGGCTGTGCTGTGCAGCAAGGCACCTCTACATGTCCATTTCAACACGTTCAAAGAAATCTACATCTCAAATTACTTGTTCTTTTTTCTATTATTATTAATTTATGCCAAACTATAACGTCAATGAGCAGGCTAGTTGAGTTTAGCGTGCATCATCATTGGCAGGGAAAGGGGATGTGCTATTTGTTGAGAGGAAAACACATTAGCGATTAATGCATGATTGGCATTTCAATTGCTGTATATACTACCTAGTTATAAATTGCGTCTGCATCTCACAAGTCAAATTGAGAAGAGAGGTGCTTGCTGTACACTCGTGTTCAACAAAATATACACCCTCCTCACATGAGGGGTGCTCACGATCAACATGGGGCCCTCTCATGTAAGAGGGGTGTAAGCTTGTACATTACTTTTTGCTGTTTCTGAAGTACGACTTCTTGTCATGCAAAACTTGATAAAAATGGAGTGGTGAGACAGTGTCCTGAAAGCCTTGATTTGAACCTACCATATCGCTCGCATTCTCATCAGGCAATTCCTCATGCAAGACATCATATCACTCATCTGATTTGCCATCAGTGCATAGGTCTGCTCCATTGCAGCCATTTTCTCCTCCATCTCACATATTTCTACATTTACCTCACTCCCCATTTTTAAGGCTTCTTTATGAGTTGGCTTCAGCACCCCAGTTCAGAACATTACAATGAACACGGCCATGTTTATCTTTACCCAGGACTCAGGAAAAGATATCATCCTGGTTAGTGTTGTTCTGAGGTATCATGTTGTTTTTAAGGTCTTGAAGTTGTGTTTGCACATTATTTCAGTGTTTGGTAACCTACATAACTCTGGTATCTACTAATCTATATTGTTATATAAATTAATGAAAGCATGTTCACATTCCAAAACATACAATAACTGCTGTTTCCTTGTTAACAGGCTGCCCGTTCCTGCGTGTAACTGTTAATATGAATAGCTCTGCTCCGGATAGTTCCATCCCATCAGACCTCTTTGCTCGCTGCACACGATCAGTTCAGGCACAGTTTATTTATATAGAATAATATTATATTGATGAAAGAATAGAAACATCAATAACCACTAACACATCCCCTTGCAGTTTCAGAAAGTATGAAATTCACCTGCTCGTCAATCGTCACTTATTCGTTCCAAGCTCTTCGTGCCTGTTGCATGACTATACTTCACATGCGCACGATTAGCCTTATTCGTGGCACTGTGTTTCTATCATGTGCACAACGTACAGGCCAATCTTCATGTAAAGAAAACAGAACTAGTTTCTGAAAAATAAAAAATTGAAAAAATATAACTCCTGGCTCTGTTTCATTGTTTGGGCATGTAAGGGAAACCCTTGTATATGCAAATACAGTAATCAGCAGTCATCCCTGAAAACTACCTCTTTTGTTTCAGAACTCCAATGTGCAATAAGAGATGCCCACTGATCTGGAAGGACCCTCTCATCACGATCAGCCAACCGCTCCTCATCAGTTTCGTGAAGGTAGTGATGTGAAGTCTTCAACTTGGATTTTCAGTCCTTCCATTTTCTCCCAAGAGATTGCAGGACCTTGACTCACGGTCAATATCAAACCTCGACTGCATAGTTTTGATACCCAATGCAATGAAATAAATACACATAAATCATGCAGAAGCAGGAGGAATGCTATCAAATATCTGAACTTTCTGCCACAAGCTTTCCTTAGATTGGGCACTGTCCTCCAGTCAACATAAGTTAGAGGTAGAAAGTGCCCAATCCGTGCTAGAATACCAAGGAAGCTGGTCAATTTTGGTGCCTCACGTCCAATGGGCTGCCCCAGTGCATTGGTGGTGATTGATACGCACTTTTCACTCAACAGCTGTTGGCAACATGTGGGACCTCGACCTCGAGTCTTCCTCCTGGAGCTACTATTATCCATGATGAAAAGAAGGGAAAATATTCCCACAAATAATTCTTAAAGATAATGTAATGATACGCGCCAGACCAGTGCTCACATTATTTGCTTGGTTGAGCTATTATTTGTCTCCATTGGAGATGAAGGTTGTAATGAGCTGGACCCTATCAGGTGTTCTCATGGGGCTTGCATTCTGTGTTGTTGATCATTGTTAAGGGATAAAATCCAACATGGATTAAAGATGAAAATATAAACCAATTTATAAAGGATTGGACTACTCCTGCTAAAAAGCTTGATCTTTTAAGATAGAATTTCACCCATTAAACTCTAGCGAGCAATTCGATCCGATTACGACTCAATAAATTAGTATATGAATTTTAAGATTGGTCTGTTCAAAAGAGCCACCATCTTGTTGGGGGCATGTTAAGGGACAAAATTCCACATCGATTATAGATAAAAATATAAATCAACTTATAAAGGATTGAGATACTCTTCTTAATAAGGTTGACTTTTTAAAATGGAACCCAAGCCTTATCAATCATAGAGGAGGATTGTTCCTGAGTTGGGTCCATCTAATCTAGTCGCTGGGTGCTAGCATTTTGAGTAACAGGTGTCACTGGACATTCCACACCAGGTCCACAGTTCACATAGACTCCACTGGAGGCGCTGTGTGCAAATTTCCTTCACAAAAAACCATGAATAATAATAGATTGGAACTTATGGAACTGAATCTTTTTTTAATGATATAAGTTTCCACAAACTTAATTCACTAGTTACATATGAAAGTCGGAAAATTCCGTACATCAATTTTGGATAAGGACACATTTGCATTTGTTCAATAGGCATCTACCACTGTCGTTAGACAATTTGCATATCAACGGGTTTAAATGTCGAATAGAGTAATAAAAAGACAGCAAGTAGACAAAATGTACCAGAAGACTTTTACTTTAGGTACATATTTCAAATAACTACGGGGCACAAAAAGCTCTACGGAATATATAATACAAAGTTTTAACATTTTAAGCTATATATAAGAGCCAAAGTTAATATCTTCAATTCAAGTATCTTCCTTTTGTTGAGCATAAAATAAAATTGTTGGATTTTTGATACCCAATAATCCCGGGTGATGATGTTAAACAGATGTTGGATAAATTAATTATCGACACTCAAGATTAAGGATCCAACCCTAAAACTATTTGGACCATTGGAAGCAACCTAATTAATTAGTGTTTCTCATGGCCCGATTTTCACACTCATTGAACAGCTTATATACGTTGCCCCACTAAACCTCTTTGTATTGGGCTTGGCCCATATATTTGACCTAACCTAAACTATATAAGCTAGTCTCTTTTGTTATTGTAACTCACGTGTGTTTTGTCTTGCCTTGGAAGAAAACTCTCTGCCTCTTTGCTTTGTGCTCTCTTGGCCAATTTTCTTCTTGTTTCTTCATAGCCTTTGTGACTCCACCTTTGTGGCTGAAAACACCGTCCCTTTTGTGTCCATAGTGGGTACAAGGTAAAGCAACCGAAGTGTGGAAAGAAAGTTTGAGATTTGGATCGTGATTTAGTTGGGTGTTTTGAAGGTTGAGATTGGTATCTCGAGCCCGAAAAATCCACCAATTGAAGGTCAATTATTCAACAAAAATGATATACTTTTATTACTCTACCTACAAATGCCTATGATTCACCAAGGGTCAGGTAAGAGAAATTGTCAGATAAGCCTAACAAAGGGGTTGCAAAATCAAAGTATATTGTATGCTATTCTCGGAGAAAAATTTCAATGTTGTCAGGAGGTATCTACCAGGTTGGGAAAAAAAATGGTTCTGCAGAATGGGAATGGGAAACATCCTCTCTCCTTTGTGGAATTTATTGTTAGTCGCTAAAGAACAGAATATAGCATGTTTGGCTAAGCTTAAAGGCACATTTATTGAGAAGTATTAATCTTGATGCTTTTCAAACCTAAACCCTTAACACATTTTTAGCTTAACCAAAGATGCTAAAGCGAGAATGTCAAGATGCATGAGTGATTATACCAGAATGGATAAAGTAAGAATTGAAGACATAAACTGACAAGAAGAAGTGGCGCCAACTGAGGATAAATAAGGGAAGGAAAACTTAAATGGTTGCGAGATGTCTTATGTAGACCTAAAGAAAAAAAGGGGTTAAACAAAAGTTAATGGATAATGTGACGAATGGGGAGAACAACCCTCTTCGAATTTAGAGGAAATAAGACTTGTCAACTATTTGTTAATGACTGGATATAAACATCCAATTATGCTACCAACTTGCCTCAATGGAATGAAGCATTAGATGTGGCAGAAACAGATGATAGAAACTCTAGTACGTAATACCATGTCAACAGTCCACCATTCAATCCATAAAATGTAGATTGATTCACCTGTTCTCTGGAATAATTGAGAATTCTTTAACATGTCATCTCAACAGTGGATTTAATTCAAGGTTTGAATATTTATATAAATAAGTGGATGAATGTAAGTTATAAGAACATGTGCAGCAGGTGAGGATAACAGTAATGACGCGGCAAAGCATGTACCAAGGAAAATAGAAACCTTCAAAATTATTCAAATGTCCAGATCAAGATAAATGAAGAATGGACGTCGTCTTGAATACCATATACACATGAAAAGCAAAATTGATAATAACATTCTTTAGACTCAAAAATCAGAGCAAATGAAGCATGATGCCAAGCTTGTAATGTTAGTAAATTCAAATTAGATCCAAATATCCTAGATCAAAATAACTCAAATCCTAGGATCAACATCATGCCAAATTACTAGGATTTATAAATTCAGATTATATACATGTATCCATTATGAACGATTGTTTACTGTTGTGGAATTACTACGACAATCGACCACATACTTATGAATCCAAATGAAGAGTGTGGTTTTGTGATCTTCCTCAACCAAATCGCCTTATTCCTCAATGGGACCGTGATTTCTCTTCTTGATGGGGAGAAGGGAAAAAGTGTGTGATTTGGTATATTTGGGACCATAACCGAAATAACCTTTATATACTGCTTAATTAAGGTTCCCATTATCCCTCAATTAGAGCAATATTGGCCGGTATCAACTCAATTAGCCCACATTAATTTGAGAAGTCTATGGGCATACCAAAATAGATCACTTGATTTTTGCCCAATATATTAAATAGCTAATATAAGGTTTTCCTAACAATCTCCCACTTGGCTACATATTATTCCTTAAACAATTATATTACAAATTCCTTAGGCGCGCATCTGTATGCTGTTTATCCTTAGACTGCTCCTTAAAGAGTCTTGTCCATCTCATATATTAATAATGGAACCACCGCAACTTCCATCACAATATAGTCGTGATTAAACCACGATCATCACCATATTAATACACTTAATGACATATGTCAAATATGGATGAGTAGCATGGAAATTTACATGAAATGTGATCTCAAACATGCCTATTTCCAACTTGTCTTCTTTAGTCTTTAGTGAGATCATTCCAAAGTCCTTAATGCAATGCAAACATTGTACAATGAAAATACAAGTAAACTCAAAAATAGAATCATAGACCATCAACTTTATTCTGCAGAAGGTTAAACAATTCAATGTCTAAAGCAAACATATAGTACATAAAATTGACTCCCACTAGACCAGAATATCCTCGGAAATAACGCCCATGCGAGCAGTGTGCTCATGAAAGACCTTAGGCGTTAAGCCCTTAGTTAGTGGGTCTACTACCATGGAATTTGTTCCTATATGTTCTATGGAAATTTGTTTATCTTGAACTCTCTCCTTAACAACTAGAAACTTGATATCAATAAATTTCGACTTTGTCGAACTCCTATTGTTGTTGGAGTAAAGCACCGCTGAGTTATTTTCACAATAAATCTTTAATTGCTTGTCAATGCCATCTACCACTTGTAGTCCAGTGACAAAGTTTCGTAGCCATATTCCATGGTTGGATGCCTCATAACAAGCAATGAACTCCGCAGCCATGGTTGAAGAAGTTATGAGAGTCTTTTTAGCAGACTTCCATGAGATAGCTCCTCCAGCCAACATAAAGACGTAGCCTGATGTAGAGCGTTTGCTATCTTGGCATCCTGCAAAATCAAAGTCAGAGAACCCGATGATCTATAAACTGTCTGATCTCCGATAAGTGAGCATGTAGTCTTTTGTTCTCCTTAAATAACGCATCACGCGTTTGGCTGCTTTCCAAAGTTGCATGCCAGGATCACTCAAGTATCTACCCAAAACTCCCACTATAAATGCTATGTCGGGACGAGTACAAATTAGAGCGTACATTAGACTCCCTACCACTGATGCATAGGGAATTTTCTGCATCTCTTCTCTTTCAAAATCATTATTGGGGCACTATTTTAGACTAAACTTTTCTCTTTTAGAGTTGGGCGTGTCTCCTGGTCTACTATCTTTCATGCCGAATCTACTTAAAACCTCATCGATATAGCTCTTTTGTGACAGTCCAATGATACCTTGAGAACGATCTCTCAGTATCTGAATACCCAATACAAAAGAGGCATCTCCAAGATCTTTCATATCGAATTTCTTCGTCAGAAATTTCTTAGTTTCATTCAATAAGCTTATATTACTGCTAGCGAGTAGAATATCATCAACATATAATACCAAGAAGATATATTTACTCCCACTGAACTTATGATATACACAGTCATCAACAACATTTGCCTCAAAACGTTACGAGGTAATGATTTGATGGAACTTGTGATACCATTGACGGGAAGCTTGTTTGAGACCGTAGATGGATTTCTTCAACTTACAAACCATAGACTTTGGATCTCCTGATATAAAGTTTTCTGGTCGTATCATGTAAATTGTCTCATCAATGTCTCCATTAAGAAACACAGCCTTGACATCCATCTGATGTAGCTCTAGATCAAAATGAGCCACTAGTGTCATTATTGTTCTAAAAGAGTCTTTCGAAGATACTAGAGAGAAAGTCTCTTTGTAGTCTATGCCTTCCTTTTGAGTAAAGCCTTTAGCGACTAGACGAGCTATATATCTCTTGACATTGCCTCTTGAATCTCTCTTGGTTTTAAATATCCACTTACAACCAATGGGCTTCACACCTTTAGGCAACTCGACGAGATCCCAAATGTCATTGTCTTTCATAGACTTTATCTCATCTTTCATGACATCAATCTACTTCTAAGAGTTAGAACTGCGCATGGCCTGATGGAAGTTGATTGGGTCATCCTCCGTTAAACCAACGCCATCCTCATGTTCTTGAAGAAAGATGATATAATCATCTGGAATCGCATTTCTTCTCTCTCTAGTGGATCTCCTTAATGGCACTTCTTGAGGTTGTTGAGTTTGTTCTATAGGTGGTGCTTGAGGAAAAATCTCATTGTTGCCTTGGTCTGAAACAATGTCAGGGATAGGAGCTTGAACATTGTCATCTATTGCCAGAACCGTGTCTTGAACAACAATAGGTACAGAGACATGATTGCTGTCAATAACATATTCTTCTTCTAAGACAACGTTCTTTATGTTTCCTTCCTCTCCAAACTCAATATCCTCAAGGAATCTCGCATTTTTCGTTTCAAAGAAGGATCTTGATGTGGGATCGTAAAACTTATAGCCCCGAGAGCGTTCAGCGTAACCAACGAAATAGCAGCTAACCGTCCTTGAGTCCAATTTTCTTTCATGTGGCCTATAAAGCCATGCCTCAGCTGGAAAACCCCAAAAGTGCAAGTGCTTAATGCTAGGATTCTTGCCTGTCCACAGCTCATAGGGGTTTTTGGCAACTGCCTTGCTTGGTACCCTATTAAGGATTTACACTGCGGTCTTCAAAGCTTCTCCCCAAAATGACTCTGGCAAGGAGAAATGACTCATCATACTCCTTATCATATCCTTAAGAGTTTGATTTCGTCGCTCTGCAACACCATTCATGCTGGGTTTGCCCGGCATGGTGTATTGCAGAACAATTCCACACTCATTGAGGAAAATAGCGAAGGGTCCTGGACGTTGTTCTCCTGATCCATCATACCTTCCATAGTATTCACCACCACGGTCATATTTGATAGCCTTTATTTTCTTTCCAAGTTGAAGTTCAACTTTAGCTTTGAAAGACTTGAAAACGTCCAGGGATTGAGACTTCTCGTGTATTAAATATAGGTAACCGAATTTAGAGTAATCGTCTATGAATGTAATGAAGTATTGTTGTTCATTCCAAGAAGCCGTAGGAAATGGGCCTTCGATAAGTAGCTAAGAGAAAAATGAAGATGTCATACGCGTAAGAGTAAGCAGTCATTCTAAATTCTCGATGCGAAGAAAGGCCCTATCCTAGTTTCCTTTGTTTGATTTTTGGTCCTACCTGTAAGGCCGAATCACGAGTAGAAAGAGAACTTGTTGATGATGAGGGAGAGGAAGGGGGGAAAATCTTCCTCCCCCGGCAAAGCAGTTCCGTTTGACTGTCCAACCGACTGAGATGCCTAAGCCCATATCAGTATGTATCAGTTCTAAGACGTCTATAGCTCTCTCGGCACCTAATTTTCTCATGTTTGTTCTTTTCCCCTTGATGTACTCAACACAAACTTGAAAGTTTGTTAAATCTAGGGGTTTAAGAATTCCACCCGACACAAGCCTCTGAACTCTCTGCTTAGAGATATGACCTAAACGCTTGTGCCATAAAGTGGCAGAATTCTCACTTAATTTTCGCTTTGTACCACGTGAACTTGTTTGCAGTATTTCGTTATAGGAACTAATAATATCAAGTATATACAGATTATCAATCATATAACCGGAACCAACAAAATTTGAATTTTGATAGAGACTAACGTTATTATTTCCAAATGAACAAGAAAATCCTGATTTGTCGAAACTAGAAATAGAAATTAAATTCCGTCTAAAGGAAGGTGCAACAAATGTCTCAAACAAATCCAAATAAAACCCAATTTTTAATTGTAACTGCCATCGCCCACAAAGATAAATCTTTCTGAATCGCTTGGTGGTCTCCATAGGCAATCCTGCATGGACATACTTATGTGAGTAGTAGCACTAGAATCTACCCACCAAGTATTCTTAGGTACAGAAGCTAAATTAACTTCAGAACAAACTAAAGTTAGAAGCATACCCTTCTTTACTCACCAGATAGCGTACCTGGGACACTCCTTCTTCATGTGTCCCAACTTCTTGCAGAACTAGCAGGTAAACTCCTTATCCTGCTTCTTTTGCTTCTTCTGCTGAGAAGTTCCTTCCACAGCATCCTTAGCTCTCTTCTTTTTCTTGTTCTAAGAGGTTGAGGCCAAGTGAGCACTCTCAGTCTTATCACGCTGCTACCTCTCTTCTTCTTGCACACAGTGAGATATAAGCTCATATAGGGACCATTTGTCATTCTGAATGTTATAACTCACTTTGAATTGCCCAAAGTGCGTAGGAAGAGAGATCAAAATCAAGTGCACGAACAAGTCATCAGACAGCTCCAACTTAAGCGACTTAAGTTTTGATGCGAGATGAGACATCTCCATGATGTACTCCCTTATATTCCCTTTGTCCTTATACTTTATGGAAACGAGTTTAGCCAAAAGGTTACTCGCCTCCGATTTTTCATTTTTGGCAAAGTATTGCTCAATTTCTTCAAGCAACTTCTTGGCACTCTCACTCTCAATAATAGAGCCCCGAAATGCTTCCGGAATGGAACGTTTCATGATCATCAAGCACATTCGGTCAGAGCGATCCCACCTTTCAATTTTACCCTCGTTTGGGTTTTCCAGAGTAGAAATGGGTCAATCCGAACGAAGTGCAAGATCCAAATCCATACAGCCGAGGACAATTTCCACGGCTTCTTTCCAAAACTTAAAGTTTGTCCCGCTCAGCATTGGGATGTTGCTGACTTGAGTAGAGAAGTTCGCAGCATTAACAACAGAAACTGTATATAGAACAAAATAAACAACCATGTCAAATAAGAAAATTAAGACATGCACAAATAATTTAGATTTCGGGGTCCATCTCAAGATACCTAGTACAATATTAATTCATAGTTTTTGGACAGAGAAATTAACTATAAGTGGTACTCTTGGTGCAACGATCAAACATTGACAATCAATTCTGTCAAATAATAGCCTTTCTTTGGACCGACTATTATTCACATGAAATGTCTTTATAATTGTCACACATTTATCATCGCAGGCACGTTGTTATTTAGCCAAACTGTGTCTTCCTTTGGGCCGAGTATAATTCGCATAAATAACTCCGTACAAAACATCTATGTATTTTCAATTAAATCAATCTACACAACAGGGGTTACTTTGGCAACATGTTGCTTTAATCAATTCAATTGAATTTACTAGACATCCAAAGGAATAATCAAAGCCAAAGTTCTGAATTTATTTTAAACCTTAAAAATTGGATTCAGAAATGGTCTGACAACCTGAATCCATTTTCTCCTGTCAATAATTGTTTCCAATTCCTTCATCACAGTAAAAAATGTAATTGTTCTTAATTAATATGGAAGAACATGTTCTGTATCCATTAAAATAAATAAAAGGTCAAACAAAGTGGCCGATCCAAAATCCAAATGATAATCAGCCCAAAAATCTAAGACTGGCAGAATCTGGATCCACAATGAAAAGTGATAGATTATTACAAATTTACACGCCAAAAAATTGTGCTGCCATACAAAAAAACACTATTGCACACATCATATACTATTCAGTATTCAACATTGAATCCATCATCAGAGACAATGGTCGAAAATTGCAGATGAATCCTTTATACAATCAAGATGCTATATCCATTATGCAATTGTAAAAGAAAAGTTATGTCCTCAATCCATTAAAGTAAAAAAATTGTGGCTGTAGCCAAAAAGCAATTGAAATTCTGAATCTGCATCCATTAAAAGAAAGATCCAAAATGGCAAATGCCTAAAAGGCAGATGAAATTATGCTCCCAAAAAATTTAAAACGAACAAGGACTGAATTTGAAAAATAATACTTTAACTGTGCCAAAAAAATTTGAAACCCGATTCTGCCTGAATGCATCGACCAACAATTATTGAATCAAATTTTGATCTGAAGATCAACCTCAATTATTCTTAAACTTAATAATTCATGGAATTTCACAAAATCCAAATTATTCTATTCGAAAATAAGTCCAAACATCATACGAATAGAACATGCACAAATCCTAATAATCTAGCAAATGATGACCGCTCTGATACCACTTGTTAGTAAATTCAAATTAGATCCAAATATCTTAGATAAAAAATAACTCAAATCCTAGTATCAACATCATGCCAGATTATTAGGATTTATAAATTCGGATTATATACCTGTATCCATTATGAACGATTGTCTACTGTTGCAAAATTACTGCGACAATCGACCACCTACTTATGAATCCAAATGAAGAGGGTGGTTTTGTGATCTTCCTCAACCAAATCGCCTTATTCCTCAATGCGACCGTGATTTCTCTTCTTGATGGGGAGAAGGGAAAAAGTGTGTGATTTGATATATTGGAAACCATAACCGAAATAACCTTTATATACTGCTTAATTAAGGTTTCAATTATCCCTCAATTAGAGCAATATTGGCCGGTATCGACTCAATTAGCCCACATTAATTTGAGAAGTCTATGAGCATACCAAAATAGACCACTTGATTTTTGCCCATTATATTAAATAGTTAATATAATTGTATTAATATGTTGCCATATTAAGTCATGTAAGAATCAATGAAATATATCATACATGAATTTGATACAAATGAGATTTTTTAAACTCGAAATGTCAGTATTTCTGCCTGCCTTCACCTGAGAATACTGCGACTGGTGACAAGTGCACTGTTAAAGCTGATGTAAATTGATGCAGCTTCCTGAACGGTGATGACCCTGACCATGAACTGAGTCCACTTGACACTGCTGTTGTTGGGTCCCCATGCCAGTATTTGGACCTGAACTGCATGCATTATCACATTTATTGAATGTCAAAGTAGACTCTCTATGGGTAGGTAAATGGGAATTTCCTTCAAAACAAACAATATGACGTTGACTCTACAAAGATTGTAAATTGGATGGGATAAAAGGACAGAGATTTTTTCACAATAGCTTTACATTTACGAAAAGTATATGTTGCACAGAAACAATGGTCATAAAAAATTCACCACATGAAATTCTCGGTTTAAGCTCATCAATATCAAGATCAAAAGATTGACTAAAAATGCAACTTGAAATGTTGAAGTATATCAAACGAGTGATTCCACACTTCGTCCAGATATGAAGGAGGGAGCATCAAGTAAATGTACAAAGACCATGGGTAGCTACGAGCAAATCTCTTTATTCCATTATAATTTATTTTTTCACTGAACAGATTCAAAATGTAAATGGACTTTCAATGATGACAGATGTCTGCTGTCTCCGAGGATCCACTAACACAAACCAATAGTCAAGAGACATAACCGATAGTTTGACAGTCAAAATAAAATAAAGCCCTTGAGTTTTGGCCAGGAACTGCAAAAAGCTTGCACGTCGCAATAGTGCCAATGTGCAACTTATAAGCCAAAAAATAGGAATGCATTTGCAAATAAAAGCAATTGCAACCAACAGTAATGAACCTGGTCTGGTAAGATGAATATACTTGATGTTGGAGGAAAACTGTATACAAACTGATGACACCGTGGCCGTTTAAATTGCATAACTGAAACTCCTCCATTTCCTCTCTTTCTTTTCATTTATACATTTCTGTTCATCTATTGAGGAGTAGATCCTACGTACACATGCATACTGTTACGCCTCGATTATTCGCGGCTCGATACCGAAGCACCACCAAGGCCGAGATCAAGTAGACCCTACGCAGCACCATTTACTCCGACCTGAAAACGACCCTCCCGAAACTTCTCCAAAGTGATATATCGATTCCTACTACTGATCTGCCGAAGCATCTCACCTCCGAGATCGAGATCAAGTGGACCCCGGTTAGAAGATCCGCCGCCAATTTAAGATTTGTCCTGCACCTAAGGCTTAAATTGATTTGACGTCTCCATAAGGCTATTTGATGTGACTTATCAACTTTATGTCAATTCAACTCGGGGGAAACAAACTGTCTGCCCACTCTACAAGCGCGACTGATTGACGCCTATGAGCAGACGCTTCATACCGTCAGATGTACACACGCGTTCCACATCCAGTGGTTCATGCCACCTATAAATACCCAAGATTTGGCAAGAGGCAAAGGTAATGAAGCTCTCAATACATAGCATTCCATAACAAGTTTATATATTCTCCTACCCCTTTATTGATTGATTTGTGTAGTCCCTGGACACTGTTCCGACCACCTAAACTTGACTTGACCGTCGGAGTGTATACGGCCGCCACCACTCCCGTCGGTCCCGGCCGTGTGCGCCTGACCGTTTGTTCATTTCGCAGGGAGGAATACGTGGAGTAGCTATAAGTTGGCCACGTGGAGGAGCCATTTTTGGAGGTCAACAGTTTGGCGCCGTCTGTAGGAAGCTCACTCCCCATTTGAAGTTTTGCGTTCCCCATCGGAGAAGACGCCGAAAAACCGGCGACTGACCCTGAAAAGGGGGCATTCTTGAAAAAGAACAAAGTCGAATTACGATCCAAGTTCTTACTACCCTTGAAAAAAGAGGTAGGATGAGCTACAGCCGTGAAGACAATCCCATGAGGGAGGCCTCTGAAGAAGAGGTATTCCATAACAATGTTACTCATCAGAGACCGCATCACTGGCGTCGACGAGGTGAAAGAACAGCCATACTCACTGAAGGAATGGCCCAGATAGCTGCGGGTATGAGAGACATAGCAGCTCAAAATATGGCGATGCGGGAACTTCTCATGCAAGCCCAGGGACACCAGAGGCCCCAAGGATCTTATCCGGTACAGGAAATCCCTTTGTCTCACTCTCGAGGCCACATGAGCCGGCACACAGAGCGTCCTCTCGAAAGATAGGGGAACGCCGAAGCGACATCTCATGTGCAAGAGAGTCATCCATTAGAACCACTCTTGGGGGACAACTTTCCTCAAGAACACGATGACCAGAGGTCAGTGAGCGTCTTCGACCGAATAGGGAACGATCTTAGCAATAGGGTCCGCCGCCCGGCAAGAGGGTCGGTCCGGTCAAACCGCGAAGAAGAGCATGTTCCCCCTCCTCCTAGAAATAGGAGGGAGAGGAGAAACTTAGTCGATTGGGGGAGCCGGGGAGAAGCACCTCCTACCCCCCAAGGCATCCAAGATGATGAAGGATCAGAGGGGCCCTGTCGATCTTATGAGATTGACGACGATGACGATAACCTCCCTTTCTCAAGAGAAATTCGAAACTTCTCAATGCCAACTAACTTCATGCCCCCCTAAGATTCCCAAGTATGAGGGAAAAGGGGATCCGGAGAAGCACCTCACAAAGTATATGACACAAATGAGTCTCAGGGGAGCCTCACCTGCTCTAAAGTGCAGAGCCTTCCATTTAACACTAGACGGAGCCGTCGAGGTGTGGTACAGCAGGCTTCCTCCCCTCAGCATCAGAAGTTGGCCAGACTTGAAGAAAGCATTTTTGAACCCGTACCTCTCACGCAGGGAAGGAGAGGCGCCAATTCAACGCCTGCAAGACATGAGGCATGCCCTTGGAGAGATGCTGAAAAGCTATCTCGCCAGGTTTACAAACGAAATTACTTACTGCGAGCAGGTCACTGACAGGGAAGCCCTTTCAGCCCTGAAA